TTGGGCGCCACCTCCCTTTCCCTGGCCGGGAGCTGCTTCCCAACCTGGAGCTTCTTGTCTTTCGCCCGCAGGTGGAAATGTGGATGGGAAGTTCAGTGTGGGCTACCGCGATGCTGTCGTGAGGACAGTGGTGAGCCTGGACCGGGAGACCACGGCCGCATACACGCTCATCCTGGAGGCCATCGGTGCGTTGCCCACACCGTATGCCACCAACGTGGTTACTCTGGCAGAGTTCACGGAGAGTGCCCTTTCAGGAGCCCGGCCTTGAGTCAAAGGCTGGCCTCTGCCCTGAAACCAGTGGAGAAAGGGCCACCAGACACTCACCAAATATAACTGAGTACTTGCTGGGCATCGGGCTCACTGCTCAGTGCTACTTGCAAGACCCTAGGGTGGTCAGATGGGAGCCATGTGGGAGACCAATGCATAGACAGGTCACTTCAAAATCAGGCACAAAAGGTGGAGGAAGAGGTTGAGGAGAGCTTCCTGGAGGAAGTGGCATCTAGGAGTACTTCTGAGTCGGTTTATATTCTTTTGGTTTTAAGTTTGAAAACTAGCTGACTTCAGCAATATGGACTCACTAGGAGATCCAGCTCACTAGGAGATCTAGCCGAGGTGACTGGGTTTCAGGCTCAGGTGATGCCGTCAGGCCTCGGTCTTTCCACAGTGGCTGGCTCTGCTCCGAGTGCAGGTCATTGCTGTAGTCCCACCTTTGCATCCTCTCAGGTTCAAGTGCTGCAGCGGGAAGATGGCACTGGTCTCTTCCCCAATTCCCCTGGCAGAAACCCTTGGATAGGTTCTGGTTAGTTAGACTCAAATCATATGCTCGCACCTAGAGCTGGAGTGGCCCTGCCTGTCCAGAACCCAGGTCTCAGATTCTGGAGGGTGGGAAGGGGGTCCTCAGAGGGACATGCTGAGATTTAGGGCACCTTCCCAGGATTGAATGGGTAGTGCTGATGGGCTGGACAAGCCGTAGAGGCCAGGCGAGGTTTTAGTAAGTGGAAGAGCAGGGAGGGCACTTCAGGCAAAGGAACCAGTGCATGCAAGGGCCTAGGGTGGGAAGAAGCTGTGTGTGTGTGTGTGTGTGTGTGTGTGTGTGTGTGTGTGTATGTGTGCACATGCCTCTGTGTGAAAGCATGCATGTACATACACATGTGTGTGCATAAGTGCACATGTGCGTGCAGAGCTGGCCCGTAGTGTGGCCTGAGCCAGCTAGAAAGTAGGGGACTGCTATCAGGAAGGTCAGGTCATAGAGCCCTAAATTGGGCTGGAACTTTGGTCTTATTCTCCAGGCAACAGAGAGCCCTTGAGGGCTCCGGAGGTCAAGAGGGCATGATGAAGCCGCCCAGCTATCCCCACTACTTCCAGAAAGCCCATTTCAGTGTTCGTAGTGAACTCTGGGTGAGACCGGAATGGGCTCTCTGTGTCTCTCTCCAGCAAGCTGTCTCTGCCAACTCACCCAAGTCCCAGATGCCTCTGCCCTGCTCTCCTCCCATCGTGGGGCAGCCACTGCACCCTCTGGGGACCCGTTGTCCCTGCTGAGCCCAGCCTTTATTTCAGGCACTGGCTGGCAAGAGGAGAGGGCTCCAGCTCAGGCCTTTCAGGGGACCTCCCAGCCCCCACTGTCCCCAGTCAGAGCAAGTAGCAGACTCCTCAGGGAGGGGGGAGGCTGGCCTGGAGAGGAGTGCAGAGGGCCAGAGGACCTACCCCAGGTAGGTGACTGCACCCAGCACTGGATAGTTGGCCCTGGGAATTATAGTCACCCTTGGTCTCCAGCCAACTCTAACTATCCTATGCCTCCCTAGGGTGACTGCCCTTGCCTGGACACCCAACGGCTGCCATAGGGCTGAGCTGGCACTCCTGCCCTCACCTCCCCAGCCCTGGGAGGCTCCTGAAGGAAATGGAGGAGCAGAGTCTCTGGGTACCTTAGGCTTAGATGCCAAGCCAGGCCTACACCCGGAATACAGAGAGCCCTCAGGCCTCATCTGCCCTGTGCCTGTGTGTCCAACCCATCCCACGTTTTCCAACAACAATTACAGTAGTTGGGAACATGTAAAAGTCGGGAGACTTATTTCAAAGTTCAAATGTTCAATTTCTCTGAGAAATCAGGAGTTCTAGTGTCCCTGGGTCCCCAACATGCCCGTGGACCATGGACAGCTGCCTGGCGACGGCCCACTGCTGTTTCACTCCCTGCCCCTGACAGCAGCTGGCTGAGGCCTTAGCTTAGTGCCTAGCTCGCTCTCAGGTTTGCCGTAACAAGGCATCACAGATTGATGGTTTAAAACAACAGAAATGTATTCTTTTGTGGTTTTGGAAGTTTAGTCACGGCACCAGCAGAGCTGCAGTTCCTTCAAAGGCAGAAGAGAGACTCCTTCCTTGACTCTTGCCATTTCCGGGGGACTCAGGTGCTCCCTGGCTTGTGGCTGCCAGCGTCGTCTTTGCTCTTCACATGGCCACCTCCTCTCTGTCTCAAATCTCCCTCTGCCTTTCCCTTGTAAAGACACTTGTCATTGGATTTCTGGCTCACTTGAATAATGCAGAATGATCTATCTCATCTCAAGATCCTTAATTCTATCTTCAAAGGTCCTTTTCCAGATAAATTAGCGTCGGCAGGTTCTCCAGGATATGACATAGTATATCTTTTTGGGAGCTACCATTCAACTTCAGTGCCTCAGTTACCTCCTCTGTAAAACAGGGGTGATAATGCCTCCTCTGGAGGGTTGCTGTGGGGACTGTGTGAGTCAGGGTCCTGCCCAGCATACGGCGTTGTCTAAATACTGAGACCACCATGTTACCCCTGGTTTAAACAGGACATGCGTCGCCCTTGCAAAGGCCGTGGCGGGTGGTGGGTGGAACCAGGCACATCCCCGGCACATCCATGCCTGCGAACATTCCCTGGCCTGGGAAGTTTGCCACTCAGGCCACTGCTCTGATCTGTCCTCCTTCAACTCCCGTAGACAACGGCCCCGTGGGAAAGCGGCGCACAGGTACGGCCACCGCCTTTGTTACCGTCCTGGATGTGAATGACAACCGACCCATCTTTCTGCAGAGCAGCTATGAGGCCAGCGTCCCCGAGGACATCCCTGAGGGCCACAGCATCGTGCAGGCAGGTGTCCCGTGGCCCCCTGGGGCACGTGAGGGGCTGGGGGCAGCAGGACCACGCTTGGCTCTGAGTGCTCATGCTCAGTGGCATTGCAAGGGGCATGGAACAGGAGAGGGCCCAGGGAGGCCCTGCTGCATTGTGGGGAAGGGGGACCCAGGCCCCTCTGCCTTCCTGGAGACAGTGGCCCCCAGGTCATGTTAGCCGAGGATAGGGTACTGGCCCCCAACGAACAGAAAGAAGGCCTTGCCTCCATCCCTCACAGTCCTCTGGGCACCCCTTACCCGACCCAGAAGAGCTTTTCAGAGCAGGGGGCAGAGGGAGAGGTCACATTTTCCCGAAAAGGATTTGAGGAGGGAGAGCCAGGGCCCTGCGAGGCCCAGAACAGAGTGGCTTTCACTGGCCCTTGGCTGAAGCTCCCCTCTGGAGAAGTAAACAGGCACAAGAAGAAAGGGCTCCTTTGCCCAGAAAGCAGGAGCGCCTCTAGGCCCAGAGGGAGAAAGGGGAGGGGCCTGACAGTAAAGGCAAGGCCTCCCCCACCCCTGCCCTGAGGCCTCAGTCTAGGTGAGAAGCGAGGCGAGGCGGGGAGTGAGTTACTGTCCTCACCAGCTATGGTTCAACCTGGAGGCTGAGCCAAGCACAGCAAAGCTGGGCCTGCCTGCCAGGGCAGCTCCCCCTCCTCAACCCTGGGCTTAGGAGCGCCAGCAGAGTGGAGTCTGGGAGGGCCCAGGGAGGGGGTGGGCAGAAACTGGCTGGGGAGCAGGGAGCTGATGCCCAGAAGCGCAGGGGGAGTCCACAATGCCCTAGGCTCTGCAAGAGTCTGGTAGTTCCAGAAAATGGAAGGGGAAGAGATAGGTCTCTTCCTCTGGGCCTCTGCTTGTGGCCTGGAGACCCCCTATACACAAAGGTGGGCCCCATCTCTGGGCTAATACCTGCCACCCCTGTCTTCCTGCTGTCACCCACCCAACCTAAGACCTCTAAGAACCCCCTCTCCCCATCCTAGGCTTTTCCTTCTCCTTAGGGCCTCAGGACAGCCTTACCCCCACCCTCACCCCCACCCTCCAGGAAGAGGCTGCCTATGTCAAGCGGAGCTTGCTGGCCAGGGGACAACTGTGGGTGACCGTCTGCAGACTGCACTCAGCCTGGGATGTCTCAGACAGCCTTGGGGGAGGTGAACCAGGAAGAGATGAACAAGCAGGAAGGGAGGGAAGAACACAGCCCTTTGGGAGGAGGCCTGCCGCACTTTCTAAACCCCAAAGAATTGGTTCCTATTTACACGTTACCCAGACTGAAATGCTAGAGCCCAGGAGTGATAGAGGGCAGCCCTGATTCTCCCCACATCTCATGACTTCTCCAAGGCTCTGATAGTCAGCTACTGGAAAGCGGGAATCATACTTTGAGGTCAGAGTGACCTGGAAGGGCACAGTGATCCGCTCCAACAGGCCTGCCTGGAGAGAAACCTACTGTCAAGGGGCCTCCAAAGGAAGAATGGGGCTCTGGGGCATGTGGGCCCCCACCAGGACTTGTGTTCTGGAGGGTGAGAACACTCCCAGCCCAGGCCCCTTCACTTAGTGAGCAGAGGCCTCGTACTTCTGTGACGAACTGGTGAGGAAGTGCAGGGCTCGACAAGGTCTAGTTCTTTGCAAGCTCCCCAGCTCATAGGGAGCTACATACAAGAATGACCCATGCTGCCACAAGGAGAGTAATCCTTGTCCTCCCCTAGAGAGGTGGCAGAGAGCAGAGATAGTTCCAGGCAGGAGGGCTGTTCAGCTGGAGGCAAGGAGGGCTTCCTGGAGTGGGTACCGTGTACAGTATGAGCAGAAGTCAGGGGAGGACGAGTAGCTCAGTTTGTCTGGAGTTGAGCCAGAAAGATACATTGGAGCCAGCTCCCAGAGTACACTGGTTTTGCCACTTCCAGCTCTCAAACCTTTATTGCCTCCCTATGAACAACTGGATAACCCCAACCTTAGCCCAGTCTCCCTTGGCCTTAGGAGAAGAGAAGGCTGTCTGAGATGAGATTGCTTTGACGGGTCAATGAAGGAGTGACCAACAGCACAGACAGCATACCTACTGTGGTCCAGGCCTGAGGTCCCACAGGCTGTCCTAGAGAGATCTGGACCATCCCTTGAGGGGTGGCCATCTCCTTCTCTGGGGGAAGCAGGAGCTGTATGATGTGTCCCCCTCAGAGCCCAGGTGGCATCACCTCCACCTGGCATTGCCCGGCCTCCTGCCACTCTAACAGGGCACCAGTCCTGGTCTTCAAAAGGAGCCTCCTAGCCACCCTCAGCCCTTTCCTGATTGATCCTGAGTGTACTGAAGTCCCTCCCGAGAGCTGCCAAGACCGTGATTCGACAGACGGTGTTGAGCGTGTCCTGCTCACTCTCTTCCCAGCAGGCATCTGAGAGTGCTGGCAGCCCCTGTGGATTACCAGGCCAAAGCGTGCAGGGCCCGGGACACCCAAGGAGAGGAATGCCCGGGCTCCCATTTGCCTTGGGCAGAGTTGGCATGGATGTAAGACAGTACCCTGCCCCAAGGGTAGGGGGGCCTTTGGCTATTTGGCAACTCCTCTGAGCCAGGCTTTAGCACCAGGAGGGCAGGCAAGACTTCTGCTAGGGAGCAGCAGAGTTGCTGTTTCCAGGAAGTGATTGGTGCCTGGTTGCCAGAAAGGGACCCTGAGGATCACCAGGTTGTCGAGCATCAGGCCAAGGGCTCAGATGGCTGTTCATGTCTTGATCCAGGGTTCTGTGAGCAAGCAGCAGCTAGGGGGTCTGCAGAGAGGAAGGCATTCTTCCGCGGGGGGCCATCTCTAGGAAAGGGCACAGAACCATGGGTGGGAGGGAGGTGGGGGTGTGATCTGGGCTGCTTCAGAGGCTGTCCTCCTGCAGCCTGTGGTGCCAGGCTCCGTGGGTGACAGGAGTATCTGCAAGTGGACTTGGGTGCTGGGTGTGTGTGCGCGAGGACACTGGTCACATCTTGGTGGATTCCGTGCAGTCACAGCTGCGAAGGCTGTCATCGTGGTCCGGCAGGGGGCGTTGAGGAGCTTGTGGCCGGCCCCTGCGGAAGCTGTGCAGGGAGCGGCGCAGGGAGCCCAGGCGCTTCCAGAGGCGGAGCCGGGGCTCACTGGGACTCCCGGGATGGTGGGGCATGCACTCGCGAGCCCTGCGGCGGGTCGGGTCCAATGCGGCCGGCTTGCAGAGAGTCATGAACAGCAGACACGTGGCCAGCAGCAGGAAGATGCAGGCCAGGGCGATGAGCACCGGGAAGGGGTAGGGGTTGGCTACTTCTGCTGGGGTCCCGGAAGTGACCGGAGTTGTGAGGAAGGAGAAGGGATTGGAGGTTGGGGAGCTGTGTAGGCTGGGGTCCTCTGTGCTCATGGCTCCTGCAACAGAAATAGGGACAGAATCTCAGAGGCAGATCAACTAGACCTGGGGCAGGGCAGGGAGGGAGACTTACCTGGGAAACGTGGTTAGGGACTGAGACTGGGCACTGTTCAACTAGATAGCATAGGGGCCAGTGGGTGGTATGGTAGTTAAGGTGCTGAACTCCCACATGGTCTACTGCAGTTCGTGTCCCCCACCTGGCGACTTGGTTTCTTGCTTTCCCTCTGTGTGTGTGTGTGTGTGTGTGTGTGTGTGTGGTGAACACATATGCCCTGTAGCAAATTTTAAAACAACAATAATAATGATGATGAATAAAACTAAATAAATATTTTTTAAAAAGAAGGAAAGGGACCAGCAGTTAGCGTAATGGCTATGTTGCTGGACTCCCACGTAGTCAACCGCGGTTTGCCCCAGTGGCTTAAACTCATGCCGGGCACGTGTGCGTGCCCAAGATCCCAAGAGGAGAATGGAGGAGACCGGATTGAGGCATGGCCATTCCCCCTGAGGGGTGATTTCTTGCTTTCTGTCTCTCTGTTGCTCTCTTTCTGGTGAGTGCACGTTCCCTATAGCAAAAACCTCTCCAGAAAAAAAAAAAAAAAAAGAAGGAAAAAAAAGACTAGATAGCATAATGACCATATTCAGGCTAGGACAGCGAGGTCCAGGGACATAACAAGTCTAAGGGCACATACACAGCTGGTAAGTGCTAAAGCAGGGCCTGAACACAGGTCTGTCTTCCTTTTTCTTCTTTCTCTTTCCTTCTTTCTTTCTTTCTTTTTTTCTCTCTTTCTTTCAAGTTACTTATTTATTGGGAGAGAAAAAGAGACAGACATTCCTAACAGGATCTTCACGCAGTGATCCACCCCAGCCTGTGCCAGCCAGGCTCACAGACATGCAGACCTGACGTGTGCAAGGAGGCCACAGGATGTGAACCCGGGACCTTCCCACATGGGTGCAGCATTGCAGAGCACTGCATTACTGCCACAACACCAACTGGCCCCTCAGGTGCTCTTTCTACTACAGCCTCTGCCTGTGTGCCATGGAGGAGAGGGAGGGCAATACCTTCTAATGTTTCATTTCATTTCAATTTAGAGGTTTTTGCCTTAGGATGCATGCACTCACTGGAGAGAGAGAGAGACAGATGGACGCAGTGAGAGGGAAAGTGAGAAATCAGCCCCCCAGAGGGCATGACCATGCCGCAATCCCTTCTCCATTCTTCTCCCGGAATCTTGGGCATGCATGCACACATGCCTGGCATGATTTTCAAACCACAAGGTCTAGGACTGCAACTGCCGTCGGCCATGTGGGAGTCCAGTGATGTAACTGCTGCACTATCTGCTAGTCCCCTCTTCTTACATTTTAAAGGCAATTCTCATGAATTACCATAGAGTCTTGGGTCTGAAAACCTGGGCTCTAGAACAAACTCCATTAGTGACTTGCTCTTTGACTAGAAGTGAGTCACGGATTACAAGATGCTACAGCTGGCAGAGACCCTAGCGATTACCTAATGCCGGGGCTGCAAGCTGGGGACCCATGGGTGTGTTTCGTTGGGTCCTTGCAATGTTTTTATAAACGTAATTATGAATATTTTTTGAAAAACAAGAAAAAAGCAAGAGACTTCACAGAACTATCTGTGTGCCTAGGTCTCTTGAAATTTCAGGATTTCCCCACCAGCAATGCAGGGCCTGGTACCAGCAGCCAGGGCTGATCTGCAGCTACCCCCTACCACTGCAGCTCACATACTCCCTCAAGTTCTCTCCACACCTTATTTCACCTGCCTGGTCCCACGAGCCTTCCTGCTGCTGCTTCCCAATTCAGTCTGATTTGTTCTCATGACTGGTAGGGAAACTGAGGCCCAAGCGGGAAGCAAAGGCCAGATCCAGGTTTCCTGATCCAGGCTTTTCCACCTCTCTGGCTCCCTAACCCTCTGTCTGAGCTCAGGAACAGGAAGGAAGTGAACTCCCAGGGAGTTAACTTCGTGGGGCTGGAAACCTCCCGAGAGGTATTCATCTGACAAGGTGTTTCCACTATCATTTAAGATCATGCCCCGGGAACCAGCAGTTAGCGTAATGGCTATGTTGCTGGACTCCCACGTAGTCGACCGCGGTTCGTGTCCCGGACCCGGTGGCTTAAAACTCACGCCGGGCGCGTGTGCGTGCGTGCCCAAGATCCCGAGAGGAGAATGGAGGAGAAGGGATTGCAGCGTGACCCTCCCCCCTGGGGGGTGATTTCTCGCTTTCTGTCTCTATGTCTCTCTCTGTCTGTCTGGCGAGCGCACGCGCCCTACAATGAAAATCTCTCCAAAAAAAAAAGATCATGTCCTGAGGGACCAGCAGATGGAATAATGCTTATGTCACTGAACTCCCTTGTAGTTGACCGCCATTCAAGTCGAGTCCAGGACTGGCAGCTTGAAACTCAAGCCAGGTGCTCATGCATGCATGGCCAAATTCCCAAGAGGAGAATGGAGGAGAAGGGATTGCAGTGTGGCCATCCTGCCTGGGGAGTGATTTCTCACTTTCTGTCTCTCTGTCAAGCACAAGCACCCTATAGCAAAAACCTCTGTCAAAATAGTAATAATAATAATAATGCCCTTAGAGGGAGCAGATGATAGTGCGGATGGAAGATCAGGCTGAGGTTTGGCTAACATGCCTGGGGCTGCAAATAACAGTGCTCACTGAGCCTCAGGCCCAGCAGATAACCTGTGACCACAGAGGACAATGGGCAGGACTACCAGGAGAGTGTTGGCTGGTTCCACCCAAGGAAGTGCGGGGCCTCAGCCCAGGCTGGCCTGCCTGTGTGGGTGCCGCCCAGAGTGATCAGCTCTTCCAGTTTCCCAAGAGAAGCCAGAAGCCAGAAATCTGGACTTTTTTTTTTTTTTTTTTTAAGGCAAACATTCCTGATGTCTAAATGTTGGCGACTAGTTCAAATTTTTTTAAGACCAGAAAGACAGACTAGAGTTGAGGGTGGGGGAGAGGAGGGAAAGAAGCACTAAAAAGGCCAAATAAACTTTATCCCAAAGAATTTTGAAATAAATGTTCAAACATTCAAAATATTGCAGAGGCCAAATAAAACACAGAAGCAAGCTACATGAAGCTTATGGACCAGTGTTTACGATCTTCAAATCTATAAATATGGGACAGAAAACTGTGAAGAGAGCCTAACAAGAAATAATCACCTCTCTTTGACCTTGGAATAAGAACTTTTCTTTTTCCCTTTTCATCATCATCTTTTTTTTTTTTTTTTTGGGAGAGATTTTTGTTATAGGGCGCATGCGCTCGCCAGCCAGACAGAGAGAGACATAGAGACAGAAAGCAAGAAATCACCCCCAGGGGGGATGGCCACGCCGCAATCCCTTCTCCTCCATTCTCCTCTCGGGATCTTGGGCACGCACCCACATGCGCCCGGCGTGAGTTTAAGCCACCAGGTCTGGGACTCAAACCATGGTCGACTACATGGGAGTCAGCAACAAAGCCGTTACGCCAACTGCTGGTCCCCCAGGCAGGATGGTCACACAGCAATCCCTTCTCCTCCATTTTCCTCTGGGGATTTTGGCCACACATGCACACGTACCTGGCATGAATTTCAAGCTGCTGGATCCAGGACTCGTACTGTGGTTGACTAGCAACATAACCATTATGCCATCTGCTCTCTCTGTCTCTCTGGCTAGTGCAAACACCCTTTTTTTTTTTTTTTTTTTTTTTTTTTACCCTTTTTAATAGTTTGTCAGAGGAAGCATACATCACCAGAGAGAGAGAGAGAGAGAGAGAAAGTACCCCCTAGTAGGCATGGTCATACTGTAATCCCTTCTCCTTCATTTCTCTACCCCATCAGAATTTGGGACACACATACACATGTACCCAGCATGTTTTCTAAGCCACCAGGGCTGGGACTCAAACTGCACAATTACACGGGCTCCAGCTCCCTTCACCAGGCCTCGCAGCCCGTCCAGCCTTAGAGGCTGGGGAAGCAGATATCCCTCCCCCCTAGCCTGCAGCCTAGTTGAACTTCTAGCACTAGCACTGGGCAGAAGGAAAGGCCTCAAGTCATGCCAAGGCTCTGCATGTAGGCTGTGGCACTCCTGTCAGCAGCTAGTGGGGAGGGGGATGTGGCCGCCAAGACCCCCACCCCCTGGAGCCCCTGTCCCCACCCCAGCACTCACCGGTAGCCGCAGGGCCTAAGTCCTGGCTGCCTGTGCCCAGCCGAATGAGGGCATCTGGAGCACCCCAGCTCCCACCCACTCCCTACCACCACCCCTCCTGGCTTTTCCAGACAGAAAACCACCCCTCCCAGCTCCTGGCTGGAAACTGTGATGCCCGTCTAGCTGCCCTGCCCCGTGCCTCCACCCTTCAGGCATTAGGCCTGGGGAGAGCTCTTGCTGGGCAGCCGCACATGGGTTGGCCTCCCTTGAGCCTGAGTAAGAGGAAGGAGGGGTGTGCCACTGTTGCCATCTCCCGAAGGGACAAAACTAGCCATCCCTCTCTCCTGCTGTGGGCGACCTCCTGATGGGAGTTAGACAAGAGCAGACTGACATGGAAGAGGCCTCAACCCTGCTAGTCCTGATGTTACGCCAGGGCCTCCTGGATGCCGGAGCAAAGGAGGTCCAGGCTTCGGGCTTTGGGACCTGCTTTAATAAAAGACAGCTGGGTGTGACTAGCATCCTGTAGTCCCTGTGACAGCCGGAGATTTCCAAGTGCTTAGAGATAGTGAGACTCCCTCCTCGGAGCATGAGGCAAGTCCACTGCCAGGTGTCCCACCTCCGCTGACCACCAGCAGTGGCAGAGGAGGCTTCCACCAGACCAAGGCTAGGAATCCCCTTGAGGGCTCCGCTTTCCGCTGGAGCCCAGGCTACACCTGTAGGCCTTGCTCTGGACTTCGCTTTGCGAGGTCAGTCTAGAACCTTCTGCTCGAGTTCCACAGAGCCTGGCCTGCTGGGAGCAGAGAAGATGGCTGTGTGGCCTCAGACCAGTCGCTACCTCTCACTGAGCCTTGCTCCCACTCTCCT